CTACTATTATATATATGATGATGAAAACAAGTTGTGGTAATCATGATAATGATAGTGAAAATATTAACAATAATAATAATAAAATCGATGACAAAAAGCAGTACTAATGGTGTTAGAGAAGGTTATGAAGTGATTGTTTCTAAAGTGGTAATACTAGTACTGATAGTGAAGATAATAGTAGTAGTTATTTTCAGTAGGTGCATAAAGTGGTAACAACAATATTAATAGTGAAAGTAGTAGTAGTCCTTATAAAATGTTATTGAAGTGTTAGTGGTTCTATCCCATCTGATGGTTACCCCAACTGCTATGGTGGTGACTGTGTCTGCAGGGATGATGGCAGTTCTATCAGTCTGTGTTAATTGTTATGGTGGTTGTGTTTGTGGGTGTGCAGGTAGTGTTAATGATAGGTGTTGGTAGTTATGTTTTGGTGGTTTTAGTATTCTTGCATTTTAGTGTTCTACTGTTTTTGGTTTTTTTTTTTTCTGTAGTTTCATTCCTAGTTGTGGTCAGACTTCTTGTAGGTATTATCCATTTGAACTGTGATAGTAGATATTTATTTTCATATCTGCATTTTGAAATTATTTCCGATCTTTCATTTACTAATTCCTTTTGTTGAGTGTGGGAGATTATTGCTACTTTTTCGTGTAGACATCTCTTTGATATGTTACTGTAGGCAGGTGCAGTTTTCATGATTTCCCATCTTATTTTTGGCATGATGTTTCCGTCTTTTAGTTGCCATATGTATGTAGATAATGTGGTGCTGTTGGAGTATTTTCTATTGAAGAATGAGGCTGCTGGTGTATTTTCTTTGCTTGAATGTTCCTTCTGTGGCACCAGTGTAATACATTGTAGTGTTGTTTGCGTTTACCTCAGCTTTGTATATCTACATAGACATGAATGCATTCCACACTGGGGTTCATAAGATAGATGACCGATATCATCATCTGCCAAAATAAGCTATTCCCCATACGAGGTAAATTTGGATTTATTTATTGTGTGTGTATATATATATATATGGCCTGACGATTGCATCTAGCATGAAACAGACTGTCGCCTCTAAGTGTTGACTTCTATGTTCACTTATATATATATATATATATATATATATATATATGTGTTATAATAAAGAGAAAGAACAGTAAGATATATAATCTAGTGTTCTAATTAATTATTTTTATTTTTACAAAACAGTGCTCAATGCAAATCTACAGAGCATAAATATTATAAATTTACTAATGCAATGGAACCATATTTTTAAATTAGTAAATTTATTATATACATATATATGAGATGTGCTTTCTAGGTGGGTAGCAGCTACATTTTTCAGTTGGAGAATCAGAATCAACATATTTCACATGGAGTCAAATTAAACTGCATCTTGGCGCGAACAGTTTTTACACTCTCCTTTACTGCAGTCCTGACTTGTACAGCGGACTGTGCTCACAAGGGAGTATACCTGTATTCAAAACTGGATGGATACCTCTTCAATCTTACTCATCTCCACACCAAAACAAAATGCTTTGAAACCGTTAAAAAAATTTTTAATCAATATTTTTCAATTCAGACAAATGTCACACATTGAGGAAGGTCTAATAAATGCAAATGTAGAAAATTTATTTAAAAAAATTTTTCCCAATTTCTTATGGGACCACTCTACTTAACTAGTTCCAAATTCAGTTAAGCTATTTTGTTTTGCTTGGTCTTATTGGGAAAAAAATGACTTATAGCCATATGTTGAAACACAGGTTCTTGTACAATCATCAAAGTTATGCAGCCTCAAACCTAGTCAGTGTAACTAGATGGGTAACCAGTTGGGAATATCAGGTGCTGTAACCTTGGATGTGTGGGTGGTTGTTGTGGAGTGATTTCACAGTGGAGGCTTGTGTTTGTACTAAGTCGGTCCTAAAATAAGTTCGACATACAAAACGTTAGGAACTTTGATATAATAGGTATAACGCAGAGTAATCTAGTTGTGGTCGCTGATACTTTAGTATTCGACTGTCATCTGGCATCATCTGACTGATCGACCGACCGACTGACCCCTTGTTACTATTATTACTCCTACTTATTATAGGTAGGAGAGTCTATTAACTATAGAATAGGTGTGTTCCACTCTAACAGTGGTGTAATAGATAACAGCTTGGGATTGGAAATCAGAGAGCCTAGTTCAAACTCCAGTCAAGTTCATTACATTCAGTTACATGCAAACAATCTAGGGAAAGGCATGAATCCACCTCAGCTATTGGTTAATTAGTAGGACTTGTATCAGTAAATCATTATTACCTCCAATGAAGAAAAATCTTGCAAACTTGGAACTTCATGCTTGAAAAGAATACTAAGTGTCAAAAGGAAGGTTTTTCCCTTGACACCACTATTATTTTAACTACCTTCATCTCTTGGCAATCTTTATTGTTTTAAAAAGCAATGATTAGAATTGTAATAAAACCTAAACATATGATGAAAGTGAATTTATACATTTTCTTTGTTCTTGAGAACTGACAACAGAAATAATAAACACTATTTATTTATTGATTGTTTATTTACAAGAATAATTTTTATATTTACAATATTCTAAAAATTACAAAAAAAAAAAAAATGTAGAATTCACATTATTTACATTATTCGAACTGTTATCCTCATCTTCATTGCCATATTCACAGCGTTTCAGCCGTTGTACACTCTGGCCTTCTTCAGGTGATTGGAATTTCGAACCGAGCCATTTATTTCATCCACCGTAGTAGATTGTTCTAGTTCTGGATGTCTCAGTTATTTGGACAAAATAAAGGGTTCGGTTCAAAATTCTAATCCCCTGAAGAAGGCCAGAGCATTGTGGATATGGCAATGAAGATAATAACAATGTAAATAGTTTGGATAATCATAATACCTCATCTCAGAAATATTGACGGAAAAATGTAGAAATTCACTTTCTGTCAGAAATTTAATGACTCCACAAATTGAGTTGTGGCTTCATGAATAAAGTGACAATGGAACATTGTAAAACATACTTTATATATGAAATACATTACATAACGAGAAAGAGAATAATGATGAGAATTGTTAAAAACGTGTTTTTTTGCATTTAAAAGTCATGATATGGGGCAATATCCAAAAAACATGTCTGTTTGAAATAGATAAACTAAAAACACTTCTGAAGTTGTTCATATTCTGCTTTCATTAGTCTTTGTATTATTCAGGTTTGCCTATTCTGAGAGTAGGCTGAAAACACATCTCTCTCAGTTGCCTCGGTCTCTCAAATTGGTGCTCAAATTCTATTTTGCGCCTAATTTTGGGTCATCATAACCATTATCATCAGATTTATAATCAACCCATCTTACTATCAGGAGTTATCTACCAAAGGGAGATAATCTATAGTTTTTATATTTCATCATATGTTTATGCTATTACAATTCTAATCAACGCTTTTTAAAATAAACATTGCCGAGAAGTGAAGTTAGTTAGCGGTGTCGATGGAAAAACCGTCCTTTTGATTTGTTTTTGTTTGTTTGTTTTGCCGGCACAAATGTACAAAAAAATATTTTCTGGCTTTAACTTGCAAAGGTTGATAAGCCGTAAATAAAAATCAATTAATGAGAAAAAAACATCAGTATTTAAAAAATAAACTCATAGATCTACAGTACACAGTGATGGGATGGATTTTTTTTTTTTACACATCAATAAGAATGCGCTACACTTTCGCATCCCCACCACGTTTTGTAATAATTCGCCGAGATGTAATTTTTCCTGTTGGCTTTTGCATTACGTACTTTCAGTCAGTTATGTGCCATACGTGATGCTTAGGCGATCATGTATCTTTCGATATATGACTGACAAGGTAGATTTTTCGCCGCAGTAGGTTGCCATTTCTTTCTTCGGTAGACCAGTTGCCATCCAAGGCTATAGAGCCTGGTCTTTCCTGCAATTTACCCATAGAAGAAGAAGAGGTTTTATACCTTTCTCAATGGTTAGCACGTAAGTGAATGTAATGGATTCGAATGGAATTTGAACTCGGCTCTCCGATTCCTCTATCCGAGTTGCTATCCATACACCACCTGTTCATTTCAAACCAAGTATTATGGCTGGTGTTCAACGCGTTCCCAATCAACAGGTTTTTGAAGACATCACCATTTTGAAGATTGGAGCACAGTTTTACAAAAAATAATTGCATTGGCTGGTGCCGTAACTATGGACTGCATTGCTTGCAACAGCTGTTGTAGGAAACAAACAAATTCGCGATCAGTGGACAACAGGATTTGGAGGTGTGCACGTAAAACTTGGCGGGGGGGGGACGAAAGTGTAGCTCCGAAGAATTATGGTTCGAACTCGAAGTGTTTTTGCTTTGTTTTATGTTTTTAATATTTTCTTCCGGACAGATCTATCGAACAGGGAAAAATCTTAAAATTTTGTGATTTTTATTTTATACGCATCAGTTTTTTTTTTTTTAGTTTTTTGTTTTTACAAACGTTAGTTTTTTTTACTCGTGGGTACTATATTTGAATTGCTGTCACTGTGTGAAAAAAAAAACTACAGTTTAAGAACATTAGTATCTAATAAGTTACTACTAAACTAAAATAACGTTTAAAAAAGTTTATAAAAAAAGTGATGTATTTAAAATTGTGTCCCAAGAGACAAAAAAAAACAAAAAACAAACTCCCATCACGAACAAACAAAAAAAAACCTCTTCTCTCGAACGAAAAAGTTTTACTTTTAAAACCAAAATAAGAAGAATTTTAAATAATATTAGGTTTTTGTACTTTATTTTACTTAAAATTAAAAATATATCCACAAATATCTTTATTAAATTTATTTCTTTCATTACTTTTTTTTTTTGCTTTTTATCGGAATTCTGTCATTCTACAATGTGGTCATTAGTAATTCATAATAATTGATTTGATAATGACGCTTAATCAGAGAAATTCAATTTTTTTTCACGATTATTGCCTTGTTTTTTTTATAATGGCAATGCTTAAAGAATTATCAAACAAAAATCGCCAATTTCTTACCTGAAACATATAACTGTCCATTTCATCTTTGTCTGGTGGTCGTAGATTGGCTAAAGCGACAATTTTATGTCCTTCAGCAACACACTGAACCATATTATAGCAGCTATCCTTTCCACCACTGACCAAAGCTATCACCCTCATGGTGCGTTTGGACGACATAAAGGTTTTCGTTTTAAGAAATTAGCACCGACAAGATGTTAAACACATGTTAAACACAAAAACCAATTGGAGTTACTTCCCTTGGTTCGCTAAACAAACGTGCTTTACGTATGTACAAATGTGGCACAAGGCCAGGGATGGGGAAGACTGGTTCTTCTAGCCCGATTATTGACCCAAACATACCACAATAATCCTTACACCAAAGCAACAAATTCTTACTTACCATTCTCACTACAGCAAACGTAAAACTTCAGATTCAATAATTCGCCGAAAAAAACGGCAACTTCAAAGAATGAAAAAGGCCCCAAACTTAATAAAAACAAAGTTTTATCGTGAAAAAGTTTATGTTATTAATAAGAGGAAAGATCAAAGTATTTTTGAATTACATTTTTATTCCTTTCTAGGACGTTTGAAATTTTGGTTGAAAATCTTGTTTTTTTTTTTACTTCAGTGGTTGCGTAATATTTGGCATTAGTTTTTTTCAATTGAAAAAACACACTAATTTGGAAATTCTTGCAAAAATTAAATAATTGTCGGATCTTAATGAAATTTTCAGAACTTATTAAAAAATGAATGAAATTATTTTAGAAATGCTCTCTTAGAAAGTCATGGCAAAAATATTTTTTTTTACATCTGTTACATTCCCTTTACTTAATTTTTTGAAAACTCGAATATGTGTACTTTTCATTTTTTAAATATAATCAATTTTTTTTCTTTTTCAGTGAGAGACATACTGCAATTATTAATTTTTTCGTTTTTAGTTTCAATTTTAGGGATGAAAACACTGCTGGTTTTGGACAGTTATTTAAAAAAGAACATAAAAAAATCAATAAAATATTAGACTTTTGAAATTATTTAATTTTTAAGAATTACTTTATAGTTAAATATACTGGTTAACTTAAAATTTGAAAATGCTGCCACTTCTACCCTTCCATTTGATAAATTGCCTGGATGTTAGTTGTCAATACATTGATGCTTCTCTTATTTCCAACTAAATTTTTTCTGCAAAATAATTAAGTAATGTTTGTTTCCAATTACATTAAGTATACTTTAAATTTTCTAATTTTCCTAAAATAACTTTTGAAAAAAGCATAATTGAACTTTACAATATTTTTAAACAGAGAATTTCACTTTTGTTTACAAAGTTGTCAAAAATGGCTGACATGATAGATTTTATGTAAATTCTGCTGAATCAAAAAAACAAGATTTTTAACTAAAATTTCAAATATGCTAGAAAGGATTAAAAATTTTTTTAAAAATACTCAAATATACTTTGGCCTTTCCTCTTAATAAACATTTAGATGATAAAAATTGTTTAATCAGGTTTGGGGTCTTTTTTTCATTAGGGTATGCTCTTTTTTAGTGAAATATTGATTATATCTACCTCAGAGACTCTCTATGAAGTCCTAACTAGTCCCCAAGTGTACAGTTTTTTTTTGGGGGGGGGAGTAGGGAATGAAATTACAAATTTTAAAAAAATTTCCCCAATGAATATTTACAAGAAAACATAATCTATTTACAAGAAACAAAGCAAAATAGTGTTAGTAATAGAAACCTCCACAATCCTAAATTGTGGCAGAAAAGTTAGTTAACTGGACGAAATTAATGCAGGACTTTAACAATTCAGACAATCATTCAACCAAGCACTCACTGAAACACACATTCAAAAAACACAACAACAAATACAAAAAACACACTCAAAAAACAAAAGGCCTCCCACACCCACCAGAGAACTGACATCTCTAGTCACCTAACAAGGGAAAGGAAGAGGAATTAAACTAAAGAAAGAGTGGACAAAAATAAATTTTGGGTTGGGTTGCCAATGCTGAAGCCAGAGTTTCCAATATCTTATTGCCAAACCGACATCAAAATCATAAAAAATGCCAAGTCAGTATCTTTCACTCAAGAGAGACATGCAAAGACTCACCCACCTTTTGCCAAATACTGATATAGGGAGTCATCTCCTTTCCGTCCTAATGTTGACTTTAAATTAAGTTAATGCTTAAAGTACAAGATCAGTTGGGAAGAGGTAAACTTCTCACCCTATAGAATTCATTCTGTTGTGTCATCCATATCATGACTCGCATAACATAGTAAACAAAAGAACACATACTGCTCAGCCTTAGTCAATGCTGATACAACTTTGTTACAAAGAGAACTGGCCTCAAGGACAAACATGCTTTTAACTTTTTAAAAAGTACATACGTGAAGTATTTATTAACAAAACAAATATTAAACTTGTCAACTTTCAATAAACAAATTTTATATACACTTTTCTTATAAATAAATAAGTGTAGTTCTTATCTAAAAACATTATTTTAATTTTAAGTGAGTTTGTATGATTTTTCAAATTTTCACAACAATGGACCTAAATTTACCTCTTGCGAAGAAAAAAAAAATAACACTTTTTTAAAGTTTTAATTAACTAGAGTTGAATTAAACAGTTACAATGTCAAAAGTTCTCTTTAATCAGCAAAAATCAACAATGGCAGTTATTTTTATTTATTTTTTTAATCATTTTACCCCAAGCAAGACGGTAATGCTACTAGTATGCGAGGGGTTATAGGAAGTGAATGTAAAAGAGAAAATTTAGAATAGGGAGGATTGAGGAAAGGACAAATGGTGAACAGGGTTCAAGGAGATAGAAGATGGTGATTGATGTTGCATTTAAATTTTTGAAGATTGTAGTTATCAGATAAGCAAGAAAATAGAAGCTAACTCCACAGGTGGGAAGTGTGAAAAAAGGAACTATTAGTGTAGAAGTGGTGGTTACATTTACCTATTTCATGTATTTGAGGCACAGTCAGTGTTTTACACAAAGTAAACAACATTTTTAAACGCTTATCCGATTCTGCTTCAAATAAAGAAATATTTATATGAGAATTTTTTTAGATTTAAAAAATTGACCATAAAATTAAGTTTTGAAACTTGTCAGTGCAGTTGCCATGAAAATATTTGTAGAAAAAACAAAGGGAATTGACTAAAGACACTTTAATTCTTCTCTTGATTCCATTATGCCAAAAAAAATTCCCAATTTTTATTGAAAAAAACATTTTAAAATATAATTTTTTATAACATAGTTGGCTCACATGTGTCAGTACAAGTCATGAGTCAGTTTGGGTGTGTGCAGGGATATTTGTAGTCTTCTTTTTACAACCCCCAACTGATAAAGAAATAAATAATAAAGACCAAAATTTCACCATCTCTAAAAATAGATGGATAATAAGCATCACCAGACCACAAAGCCATATTTTGACCAATCAATCACAACCAGAATGTAAGAAACCTTCGATAACCAGGATGTAAGAAAAGAAATTAAAAAATAATAACAAGGAGACTAAAATTTCACCATCACTAAAAATAGCTAAATCAACCAATCAGAAAACTTTCAAAACAGTCTATAAAGCAGCGAGCCAATGAGAATCAGAGCAGCTTTTGGATACATATATATACATATATATATTTACTTCCTCCCAGACACTTTCTCTTTCTATCTCTCTGCATCAGGACTTTTATTGAACTTTTGAAACTTCAACTTTCAAAATATCCTTCTGTGTTATATTATATTGTCTTATATAAAGATTTATTTTGTATTTATCATCATTGTGCATAACCATTACACAATAAGACCAATAAACAAATATATATGCAAATCAATCATACTGATATATGGTGGTAATGGGCATTGTCATAAGATAAACAACTCATCCATAACTGATAAACTCCTAACCACTATAATCATTTCATGGCAACAGTGTTTTACACAAAGTAAACAACATTTTTAAACGCTTATCCAAATCTGCTTCAAATCATACTTATTATAAAACCCAGGTTGTGTGTGTGTCTGTACGTTTATATATTGGATCGGATTTCCTACATTTTTCAACCGATTTCAACAAAACTTCACAGGACAACATAAAATTACCTTGCGGTGGTTCTGACAGTGCCAAAAATTGGAAAAACACAATTGTTTTTTCACGAAATCAATTTGAAAACACGATTAAGAGGCATTGCTGTCTTGAGAATTAAAGGGGGACAACTCATATCGAGTTATACTTATTATAAAACCCAGGTTGTTTGTGTGTGTGTGTGTGTGTGTGTGTGTGTGTGTGTGTGTGTGTGTTGATTTTTATAAGGGATCAGATTTCCTACATTTTTCAACCGATTTCAACAAAACTTCACTTTTTTTTTGGCAGGTAGTGTTTCTTATTGTCTTGCACACTTTTTTCTTTATTTTTACATTCAGAATGCTTTAAAAATTCCATTTATAAGGCAATTGTTTATAATAAAATTCTATTCAATCGGTAGACTCATGATGATTGAAAACAATGTTTTTGTTTGTGTTTGACCAATTCGTAAAAAAAAAAAAACAAAAAAAAAAATCTAGTTAAGACATGCGTGTCTGTCAACCTTAAACAATAATCTTGCTCAATTTTATTTTTCAGTCTTTATGATGGTCGATACTTGATCTATCTCTTACTATTACATCTCCGGGCAACGCCGGGCTCTACTGCTAGTAAAGAAATATTTATATGAGAATTTTTTTAGATTTAGAAAATTGATCATAAAATTAAGTTTATACATGATTCATAACTTTTTTTTTAATCAGGTGTCAAATTTCCGCAATGAAATTTAAGTGGGTGTCTTAAAACAGGTTGAAATGGACATTTTGTTTTTACTTAATAAAAATGTTTCAAAGTAATAATTTTATATGCCATGTCCCTTCAGAACATAAGCGATCATGGCTCTCCACACATTGCTTCTCAGGAGTTTTGAGGAGCATAAAATCACATCTTAATTGCTGTTGTCCCCAAGTCCACCCTGACCCTGACCCTGGGTGGTAGCACCTGTTAGGATCCCAGTAATGGGTAAATAGTTAATCCCTCAAACTGGAGTCAAAATGAAAGTATAAAAATATATTTTTATGTTGAAAATACTAGCACAGCATTTTCATTGTAAAGAAATTACCAGCAATAAACTTTTGAAAAAGAAAAATTACC